ACCCCAAAATTATTGGGGGACGCGGCCCTAAATGGGGCCGGAGCGGGAAGGGATCGCGGGTTTTTGGGGGCGCAGCGCGGGGGGGGGCGCATCCCTTTGTTTCCCCCCTTTTACCGAGTCCAAAATGCACCAAAATTGAGCTTTTTCCGGGAATTTTTAAGGCGGCGCGAAGGGGGATTGAGCAGCGCGCTCTGTGGGGTTTTTTTGGGGGGCGACGCTGGATTTGGGGGGTTCATTGGTTCCTGCTCCACCCCGACCCTGCCGAGACCCCAAAAATGCGGCTCTGCCCCCCCGAGCGTTCCCTAATTAACGCCTGTCAGCCATAATTAGCGCCGCGCCGCCGAGCAGCGTTCGCCTCCATCTTCCCGCCCCCGCCCGCTCCCACCTTTGGGGTTCGGGGCACCCCAAAAACCCCGGSAAGGGCTGGGAAAGGCTTTGGGATCCCCCAAAACTTCGGGGGGAGCTTTGTCCCGCTCCCAGCAGGATCAGAATTGGGGTCGGGGTGTCCCTAAATCCCCCCGATCCCATTCCCCGAACCCGCAGCGTTTCCTTTTTCTGCCGCGACCCCAAAAGCGGCCGCACGGGCGGGATTTGGGGTCGTTTCGCTCCCTTTGAGGGTTTTTTTTGGGATTTGGGGTCATTTTGCCCCCTTTGAGGGTTTTTTTTGGGATTTGGGGTCGTTTTGCCCCTTTTGAGGGTTTTTTTTGGGGCTGGGGGAGCTCCGGGCTCGGCTTTGGGGCTGCTGATCCCGGGATTTCCTCTGGGGGATGGGAGAGCAAAAAGGAAAGAGCGAAAAAAGGGAAAAACCGCGGAATTTCGGGCCGAAAGTGTCGGATTTGGGGTCCCTTCGAGCGCCCGAACCCCTCGATTTGGGGCTGATGCTCCCTTTGATCAGCGCGGCCGAGAAAAAACAGCCCCGAAATGATCGCGGTGCGGCTCCATCCCATAATCCGGAATGTTTTCATTCATTATTGCCCTGCTCCGGCTGCTTTTCTGCCCACATTTCCCC